TAATTAAAAATGACGAAATACTTTTTTTTATCTTTTATTCGTTATACGAAACTTTTTATCTAAATTGTTTGGCCATCTCTGACCATAAGCAAACCACCTTTGCTCTATTTTCGGTACCCCATGTTACCCCATAGTAGGGGCAAGACGGTTTTTCTCTGGTTATTTTTTTTAAAGCTCAATAACTTAATAGTCTGACTTTGTATTGTCCAAAGCATGTTTCAAATACTAGACTGTTAACTCATCCTTGTATCGTGATTCATAAAGACTTAATTAAGAGTTACAATTATCACATTACTTATATTTCTCCTTAGCTTCCCAAACATGCCTTCCTCTACATACCTCGAAAACTCCTGGAAAATTGGGTCGTCGTCGCAAACAAACACCGCCTCAGCTGGCTCGAAATGTATTTCAGTCGCGAATTAACGAGGTAAAAGTGCACCAGCTCGATGCTGCGAACCACGAAACGTGTACCAGGGTCTGCGGCATAAAAAACAGTCGAAAGAGCCCTCGTCGGAAAATCGTAAACCGTTTTACGACCCGAACGAACCCCGAATACTTTTCCACGTCGTGTTGCAAAACTGGTCCACGCGGTTAGGAATTGAATAATCCCGCGTTTTTCTTTGTTTTTTTTTTTTTTTTTTTTAAGGCAACGTCGATCATCCCCCCGAAATCGGTTTTTCGACGCATAACCAGAAGTTTCAACTCACAGAGGGTTGGAATCCAATGCTCGTTTTCCAACCGCCGTCTACACACAAACCTGGTATTTCATTCTGCTGTCGGTTTTAATTACAACCCCAAGGTCGGACGGGGGTGTTTTAAATTGACCAACTTTTCCGCGACGCGAATCGACGACCGCCGTACAATTCGGACAAGTTTTAATTAAAAACCCCCCCACCACCGTTAGAATGCCGAAACAGGCGGGCTCGGGCGATCGTTAGGTCGATAGGCGGATCCGTGAAAGCGGATTCAAGCACGTGGAAAAGGTAATGGGGTTTGCTTTTCAATTCGAGATTCAATTTTCGCGCGCTGGCGGGTCCAAGTATCGATCCACGATCTTTCCAAATGGATTGTTTTCGACACGTTCACTGGGCCAATGGGAAATTTTCGTGAAAATCCGTATCAGGCTGTTGCGAACTATCGAAATAACGTACAGTAAAAAGTCTCTGTACGCGGTGGTGTTTTGGAATCATTGAGTTTGAGACGTTAGAATATAGATTTTTTATCGCGAAAATGCTCTCTCTTGAATTTCTTGAAAAGAATGGGAATGTGACTCTGTGAGGACGAATGGAAAGTGAGGAAGACTTCTTGTTGAATGGAGATAGGCAACTGCCACCTATAAAGTGGTCACATGATTGACAATTAGAGAGACTTTACTGTATTTATAGATGTAGCTAGCTTAGTCAGAGACCTATACATGGTGTCCCACCTAACGTGAGCACCGTTAGTGTCTCACTTCCTTTGGTTTGCAGACAATTAATTTTAATAAATGCCCAACGCGGTATCTATAACTAATATTAAGTAAGTGAACAGTTTTGAAAGAAGGAATTGCAACAAAAAATCAAACACTCATCCGTCCCTTCAGTCAATTTGACACATTTTTATCCTAATAAATTATGTTATTCTGTCGTGTATAGGTAAATTTAGCCGAGGCTATGCGACTTTTATTGTAAAGAATTTGCAAATTTAGCTATTTATTCCATCATTATATGAATTTTTTAACGCTGTGTCAATTTGTCACCGGAGACAAATTAAGTTGGGAAAATATAGGACGGATGAGGATTGATCATTCGCTTATTTTAATATTATATTTCAGTCGTTTTCATAAATAATGTTCACTCATCGGTACGTGTTCATTTACTTATGCATCCACCACACATTGTTGACTACATCCATCCGAATATGTACACCTAATATGTAATCCGAATATGTAAACCAGTCAATATACGAACGTCACCGAAACACACGTGACCAAAAACTCTTTGCACGCGATGACACGCCAGTCAGCGTGTTAACGGACAACTAACCTATTATTCCTCCTCGATATTATTGACGGACGATCGACGGCTATTCCACCCAGACGACCACGATTGTCTGATAATTTTTTTTGTTTTTTTGCCCCTTCCATCAGTCGCGTATCTTTGGGATCAATCGACAGAAGAGGAATGAAGATTGATGGGTCGTCTCGTAACGGGGGAAGAGTTCATAGAACAGCCGGTAAATGTTCGAAGTATCCCATCAATTGAAATAGTTTAAATCGACTTAACGGCGCGGAATTTATAGAGTGTTCGGGGAACACTCGCGCGTTACGATCGCGCATTCGGCCCACGGGAGATAGACTTTAATCTCGTAAAAGGTGACGGGAAATCGATGGATCTAATGATTCCTCCAGCCCTCCCTCTTCCTCCATTGCCGCTCCGTGCCAACATCGTTCGGTCTGATCCTGCTTAATTAAGAGAAACCAATAAGCCCCACCCTCCGTTCAACGTCGTAACCGTCTCGGGATCGGTTTCAGCATCAAGTATATACACACAGTCTGTTGAATCTTAATTAACGGTCGATAAAATGTACCAGTTTCCTATGCTCTTTTTCATTTTCTGATTGAACGTCGGTGAAACGATTGGATCGAATAAAGATGGGGTCACGTGAACCTTGTAATTTTTTTTTTCATTTTTTTTTTTTAAGCAAATTATCAATTTCTTTAACGCTAGATACTGACCAGGATTGAATGTGTATGGTAAACTATATTGTATAATAGAATGATATACTATTTCCAGCTGTTCGATAGAACATCTTTTTGGTTAATATAATATTTATTTGAAGAGACCTTTAAGATGACGGTACCAAAATTGTTGTCAACCCTTTTTTCCCCCCAGAGTGTTCAAGGTCATCTTCAATTTTTTTTATAGATAAACCTATAATTTTTTTACTCCCATCTTTTAACAAAATCTTATCTCTTCAGATGTCAAACGCTTAAAAATATTAGTTAGCCAAATTATTAACGTTTGTACCTAAAGTTTCAAGGACACTGACAATGATCGGTGTGTAATCGACCTACAAAAGTGTATTAGAATCGCAGGGGTAATAAGAAAAAAATGTGACAGCGAGTAGTGTTCTTTGGAATAAAAAAATGGACAAGGAGGCTCGATCGGAGCGATTAGTTTAGCGATCCAAGGGGAAAGAAGGAACGTGTCCAAGTGATACCAGAGGCAAAAATAATAGACAACTGTGGACAGCTGACGGCTCTATAAGCTTAATAAGCCCGCGAAAGGCTCCGAGAGATCGCGCGAGCCTGATGGAAGAAGAAGAAGAGGAGGAGAGAACGCGAATCGACTGATTTATGGCCGTTTCTCTGTCGATCGTCGATCGCTCTGAGCCCTGCTTTCCCTCTCGGCCGAGGAATCTCCAACTGAGAGATCGCGAGACTTCCAGAGTAAAACTTTCGCGAGGTTCTAGAACGGAGGAGGATCGAGAGCCGGTTGGACGATGCTCGTTTGAGCGTGGAATAACGTTCGAAGGATCGAGTGTTCCACGAAACAGGAATTCCCTCGTTATAATCTTACAGTACTCACTTATCGATATCCTCCACCAGTTCGAACACCATTTTGTCGAAACAAAATTTCGTTAATCGATTTACGTGCGTCTCACTGGTGTCCAAAGAATACAAATTCAGCAGAACCTAGAAAGCAACAAATGTTCTTTTAACTCCGAAAGTTTCTTTTTGTTCTTAATGGTGGTATCTCGAGATACTAATAACAATTCAAAATTTATGTTAAATATGGTAACAAATAGCCGTTCGGATATTGATTATTTCACTACTTTCCTGCTTGTATAATATTAAACTTTGTAAATTTTACACACTAAGTTTTCTCAGTTTAGAGACTAGTCGAGATACAACAATTAAGAACCTAGAATGATGATATAATGACAGAAAGGAGTCGAAAAAACTAATCGTGTCCAGAGCTTCTCTATAGGCTTGTCGCCAGTACTGACCGGTGCACTATATGCTGCCACGTTTATGTTATATTGCTGTCACCGATAGATGCGTTCTGTTTGACGGTCGAATCGTATACTGGTCCGATGGTTGTACGCGTAGTCGCTTATTACAAAGGATCGACGAGTGGTGGAAAATACAGAATTTCGGTTGGTTTATGTTGTGGAGAAAATAGGGCCATATGTATTGTCTTTCGAATTCCTACAAGGCAACGTCGAACAAAATAAATAACTACTCTTACATAGGGACAACGAAATATTTTTTTTGCACGTGACCAGGGGCTGTCCTGGAATCCCCGTTTATGACTTTTAGGGTCCTAGACGGTAACGATCCCTTCGTCCATCATCTACCTGCGTTAGGTCGCAACGCTCATGGCTATAGGATACGAAAAAAAAAAAAAGAAAAATACGGTTCAACGTCACTTTAGAATTGTCCCTGGTACCGTTTACCAGAGTCGATCCAAACAGTGAAACGTTCACCGAGACTTTATTAACCCTTTGCACTCCGATGACGAAATCTATGTAGCGGGAACTTTGTATTTTTATACGTTTAAAAATTAAAATATTCTTCACTTTTCCATGGGAACCTCTACTGTTACATTGCATATATAATTGTGTATTAAAATTAAATAGTCCTGGAGTAGCTGGTTGCTCATAGTAAAAATTCATCGGAGTGCAAAGGGTTAAGTCAGAAGGATTAGGGTCGTACAACACCTCCATTCAACGCGAAAGGACCTTTCTTCGTGATTGATTCAGAAATAAATACTTGGCCTGACAATTGGTCGACTGTGTTCATGGTTAAAAATGAGATCGGTCGTAATTCAGATAAAATACCTGTAGCGATCTCGAAGGATCGTGAACGTCGGGAACCTTGATTTCCGCGGCGTTGGGAGGGGGTGGGGGGACTCTAGCGAATAAGAAACGATTACGTGAGGCCAGTGTTGATGACTTTTTATTTCGTCGTGTCGGCCCACACTCTCGGACTGATAGATTAACGACCATGATTTCAGGGAAAACAATCAGATCATCGGCTCTTATTTGGAGATCGAAGACATAACTCTGGAAGATTACGGGGAGTACAAGTGCGAAGTTAGCAACGGCGTGGACGAGGAGATCACGTTACCTGCTCACGTTTACCGACAAGGTAGGTAACTAAGCCTTTTAATCTGTCCCCCCTCTCCTTACCCTCTACGATTAAGAAGATCCACCACCGCCCTCGGGACTCCTCCCGGTTATCGTGCAAATGAGGCTGCGTGCGCGAAACGCGAAGGACCGAGAGGCTGTAAAATACCGTGTCTACAGCTCCGTTCAAATCTTACGTATGCATGCTAATCGTTACAAGGACCCCAATTGTCCGAAATCCATTTCAACGGGGTTTTGTAAGATGATTGTATAGCATTTATTGTAAAAAAAAAGAAGTCACTGTTTTATTAACCCCTTCGCACCGGTGGACGAGATATCTCGCCACGTGATTTCGTTCATGATATGCTTTAAGCCCTCGTACATACAGGATGTCCCAAAATAGGTGTAAGTCCTTGAAAGGGGTGATTCCTAGCGAAAAAGTTGTTTCTAATCACTCAAGAAATCACCCCTTTCAAGCACTTACACATATTTTGGGATACCCTGTACACTACTGTATATTTCTTTATCTTTGCCAGTGATTCCTTTTCTTTTTCTTTTGTACTGAAATATTCTACAATACGTTAATATTACCAATACACTTTTTGTTTTACCGTAACCTAACTTTAAACGGCAAATGCAAATTTATTCGTTTAACGAGTATACTCGTCTTCAAACCAACAACAAATATTATCTTTTTACGACGAGTATATATACCCGACACAAACATCGAAAAGGTTACGCCTTTAACACGCAATTAATCTGAATATATGTTTACGCTTTTTTTTTCTCAGAGCCGCAGTTCGCGCTTGGCCTTCAAAACGGCTCCTGGAGGAAGTCGTTTCTGCTCGGTGTGCTGTTCCTGCTCCTGTTGATTTCGGCGGGCGCGTTTTACGCGCGTTGCTGGCTGCCGATCGCGCTGCTCTGCCGCGACAAATTCGCCCCACTCGAGGAGAACGGTAATTATCGAGGGAAGGGCACATTTTTTTTGCCCCCGATTCACTGGGACTTTTAATTACCGGCTGCAAGCCCCGTTCCTGGCGAGGTTCGCGCGCGCGCACGGCAGTTTTCACGTTTGTCAGGCGGCATTGGTCTAAGAATCAAAGGGAAACCCCTCCGTACGTTCCTCCGTCGCTTTTCCCCCTCCCCTTCGTTTCCAAGCACTTAACCCCCGCGAAAAGAGCAATCGACTCCCCTCCACCCACCCCCCCCCTCCCCCAAACGTTTCAAACTGCCATCCTGACCCCGATACTTTCAAGAAATACACGGCAAAAGGAATGATATTTAACGCTTTACCGCTCGTGGATTCGTTAACTTGCTTCAGACACTTTTTCTCTTGGTAATTTCCCTTCGACACTCACCGAACACTGTACAAGGTGCGTTTGAATCTGCACAGGCCGTAAGTCAACACAGGCGTCGTCACTAACGCGTTAGTTGGTCCGCCATTTTGTGTTCGGCGATCACGTGACCAGAATCGGCCATTTTGTTCGCGAGAGACCATGTTCAGTTTCGAACATTTTTATTCATTGATGCGTACACTCCCGTTCGTAAGTATTTGGACGCTTATTTTTAAGGGAAGGGCCTCCTACAATTTGGTATCGGGAATTATTGAAATTTATGCCAAATTAATATTCGATTTAACATTTATTTCAGTACTTGAAATAAATTTACCAAGTGGTGGAAGGCATTTCTCTTTCACCATCTCTTTCCCCTGTCGGATCCAGGATCCTTTAATTAGGTATTAGGGAACGTAATACAGAGATAATTGGTGAAACCGAAAACCTCGAGCCTCAAACACGCGTTCTCTTTCCAAAAGGGTACAGCCATCGAAAAACCGTCTAAGCCGTCAAAAGTGTCCTCAAACCAAATTGGACTCTGCAATGGACCGTTCGAGTAGCTCGACGAAGAAAAAAGCAATCTGTACAAATTTTCAAGCCCCTATCTCGTTCAGAAGGGGGTGGTCACAGGGAAAATTCGGTTTATCGGTTTTCCCTCAATTTTTCCCAATTCCAATGCAAAAATTTCTACCAAAAAGAAAATCAGATATTTTCGAATTTCCACTTTTCAGATACCTTCTACCCGCACCAAATCCGATGATTCGCTCGTAAAATTTCTCGATGTGTGGATACCGACGCGACACATTCACCAGAAATTCCGTGCTGCTCTTCTTTTAACGTTTTGGGGTTCAGGGGGAAGCGAGCCGAAAATCAGAATTAACATATCGAATTCCCATTTCGTGCATGCTTTACCGTACGTATGTATTGCCTTTCGATGGCGCAGCCAGAATCGTCCTGTGTGTGTAATATCCGTAGAAACATTTTCCGCAGCTCGCTGGTCGCTCGCACACGGTTTACTTAATCTTCGGTTAATCCGGAAAAGCGCCAGCGGGCTGCGTAAACGACTTCTACCCCGTTCGAATTCCTTCGTTCCTTTTTTTTTTTTCCTTTTATTGCTTTCTCGAAACGAGCGAGTTTAACGGCCGAAACCCCTCCCCCTTTCGATCCGCCTAGCGGAAACGACGCGGCTACGCGCCGAGTAATTAGGTGATCGTCCTCGAGAACGATCGCGCGAGGGATTAAACGTGGGGAGGGGGATAAAGAGTAGGAAGAAACCCTCGAAAACATACCCTCTAATGGACCTCGAGTTGGGCGCGCAATCTCGTTCGAATAACGATTACCGAGTCGAAAAAGATTCCGACGAACTGAGAGTGCTCGTACGAAACCATATTTTCCATTACGGTTGAGGATTGAACTTGTCGGAATTAGATAAAGGACTGTTGGATCTGTTTAATTTTGTCAATTTACGAACACTTGATTATTTTAAAGATATGCAGGGTGTCTCCTTTAAATGATAGCCCATTATACAATTTGTACTAAGAAACCATTAATGACTTCCGATCGCGTTGAAACTTTCCAGCTCGTTACTCGTTAAAATCACATTTGACGAAGCTCCCGATTTACTGGCCAGTTCAAGATCTTCATTCAAGAACTTTCATCAAACATTATTTCTTCGAATTTACTACGAGAATATAATTTTTCGTCTAATTCGTGGTAAATCAAGAACGTGCACAAAAAGTTCGTGTAACGACAGAATTGGGTGTATTCGAACGGTGCGGATTCGAATACAGTATCCTCTCGATTATTGTCCCGACCTCGGGTCCGCGTCGGGACAATAATCTTGCAGGGATAAATGCTTCAGACCCTCGTAAATTCGTTTTTCCTCAGTGGAGAGGGATAACGTTTGGACAATAATTGTGTAGACCAAGCTGCACAATAATCGAGAGGAATCTGTAACGCGATTAATTTCTGGGATTTATTACTCGCCACTAATCGAGACCTACCTGGTACCACGTGTAATACGTGGTCTAATACACAGAGTCGTATTATCGGTGCTATCCAGCAGGTACGACCAGATCCACGTCTCTCCACGGGGGTTACAACGCCGTATACGGAAAGTAGAAAATTACACCGTGATTACGCCGCTTCCGAGAATTACCGCCGTGACAGTCTCTTCTATTAACGTTTCGCTGGGAGCTCGTTTTCTCTGTGTGTTGGTGTCCAACCGATGGAAAGTTGTCGACAACCAGATGCTCCCCCCCACGCGACTGGGACAAAACGGAAAATCGTTATCTCGATCGAAAAAGTTCACGAAGAATTGCAGATAAAAACACTCGCTTCGTCCGATTACAATAGTCACGTCAACGATAAGAATATCAATTGGAAAATTTGGGTGACGATCGAAGAATGCAATCGTGTGGCAAGCTCGCGCAATCGATGTCACGATGTATTGTTTTTCGATCGTTATCTGTAACGTGATCGTGGACACGAAACAAGAAATCAACGCGTTTCATGAGTGGTTCTTTAATCGAGACCAATCTTTCATTGGACTTGAAGCCCTATTTTATGGATGTATGCACACATATTGCGCAATGAGTTTTCTGTCCTAATGGTGGTGCTTATCGGGAATTCGAACGGAATTTTTTTGAAGATCGGGAGAACTTGTGGTTCGATGCGCGTTGAAGACAGATGTCGTTGCGATGTACTTCGGAAGACACTGTGATTGTAGCATTAAAAATAGTAATCTCCACTCGAAGCTTTCATTCACGAAAGCACAATGATTATTAATTGAAAATTTTATTCTGGATTTTATACCTCCTACATTTTCTCCTGGATTTTTGAGTCGATTTGTACACCTCCTGCATTTTCTTCTCAATTTTCGTATTCATCTGTATCAGTTTCATCTGTACCTCCCCCATTTTGTTCTCGATTTTGAGTTCCTTGTGCACCTCCGCCATTTTGTTCTCGATTTTGAGTTCCTTGTGCACCTCCGCCATTTTGTTCGGAATTTTCAAGTTCGACCTGAACACCCCCTGCATTTTTTTCTGGATTCTCGAGTTCGATTTGTACCTTCGTCATTTTCTTCTGGACTTTCAACTCCGATCGTCAGGAAATTACAGTTCGTTTCCAGTGGACGATCAATTCGAAGATCAAAAGTAGAGTCAAATCAACCAATTCCTGTTCTTCCTTTGCGATTCAAGGCAGAGAGTAGACCACGGAAAAACCCAGCATACCTCGAGGACGCGTGTTTCGTCGGCCGTCGAACGATCTATCGCTGGCGCAAAATTTATTGAGATTTTCCGCCTGTCGCGCGCTGGCCGTCGTTTATATGCGGATACGTGCACGCTCGTGGACGGACGTAGAAAGGCATCCGCGAGACGTTTGCATGCGATCACTCTCGCCGGGAATTTTATTTTCCTTTGCCGGGACATTGTTCGTGACCGTCGACGCGTGCCGAGCGTTTTTCCTTCACGGACGAACCAGCGATGGGAAATGCTCTTTGTCTTCTACTTTTTCGTGGCCGAACACCCAATTATAACATCCATTTGGATTTGGGGTTGAACACTAATCTGAATTTTTTTATTAGACTTTAGTCCAATTCAAATTTAACGTGGCAATAAAAATATAAAAATATCTATAGACTTAATAAAATACTATAGGCGCCAAATTTTTCGTCTGTATAGTTTATCCAGTCGAATGTCTCGTGCAAATACAAATCAAAAAGTCCTTTACCGTTTTGTAACCCGAAGCTCCGTTCCCGAGATATTAGCAATTGAACGAACTCCAATCAGCTGCCTGGTCTCTGCTCGTTGACTGTGTCTGCGCGCACCTGTAACCAACCGCTCAGCTGATTGGTGTTCGTTCAATTGCTAATATCTCGAAAACAAAGCTTCCGATTAAAAAACAGTAAAGGACATTTCGATTCGTATTTACACAAGGAATATGCATATTATGACTTCTCCCATCATTTCATGACACCCTGTAAAATCAATCAGACAAGATTAAAGTGATTCACCCGGTACATCGGTGAACGTTAAAACGAAACAACGATCAGGCTCTATTCGTACATATTACATAACTGGAACTTGGAAAACAGTCTGAAAATCGAGGAGAACTTGGAACGACCGAGGTACATTAAACGAATCGATTCCCCTGACACGAGTAGTGTACAGAACGAACGTTCCTCGCCCAGTTCGATGCAGCCAGGTGGTATAATACCAACCGCGACGGTTCCGTGGAAACAGTCGACGCAATAATGGCCCATAGAATTCTCGAAAGGATCACCGGTGCGCGATGGATTCGTTTTGCTCGTGACTGACTCTCCTTATTCGTGCCAACCGGCGGCGGGAACCGTTCCCCATAAACAATCGGGCCACTTTCACTCGTATCCCGCCACGGAATTCGCGGCTACCACCGCGGGTACATCGTTTAACCGCCGTGGACCCCAGTCGTAAACACGTTTACGGACAGGCGAACCGTCGCGAGTACGAAGGCCTTGCGAACAGGGGGAAGGAGAAGTGTCTTCGATTTTTTAACGGATCAAGGCAGCTCCGTATTTGCTTTCTTTCTTTTCGGTAAATAGGAAATTGTCCTCACCTCGATTGTTCGCGGTAAAACGATTCTTATCGACTCTTTATCTCTCTCTTTCGAATATTTTTCGAACCTCGCGTGTGTTTGCCGTGTCCCGTTTCCGTAATCATTGCCCTCCAAACCATTTTTCTCCCCTCCCATACACCTTGAATCGATTATCCTCGAAATCACTGCTCTTACGAAAGCAACGTGTTTCCATGAAAACGAGAAAATTATATCACGATTCGTTTTCTGCGATATCGAGAGTAACGAGACGGTATATTCGAACGAGTTTTCTGTATCGACATTGTAATATGTATTTTTTCAGGATATAGGCTACTTTCTCACATATAGGCTTCTTGAAAATTTATATGTACAGATAAGTGAACCTACGAAAATTCTATCGTTCGAATCCTTCCGTTAAAAGACCCCAACACCGTTCAATTGCCAACCACATATAATAGTGTTGTGTGCTGTTAAGTGGACAACAGCCTTAACACCGTCCACTGGCAGAGACCCATTACTATTCCGCGAGAGAAACGGGATTTAAAACAGAACAGATCGGAACACACGACTTCCGTCGCCATCAGAGGGTGTGTCAGTGCAAACTCGACTTCCGCTAGGAGAAAAAGAGTGGCATACGTGGGAGGATCCTTCTAAAAAAAACTTAGGCCGAATTAACATTCGGTTTAACATTTATTTCAATGCTTGAAAAACAAGAATGATAGAAGAGGCCCTTCGTCTACGCCACTCTTTTTCCCCTACCGGAAGCCCAGTTTGCTCGTGAGGGTGTACATGACGCCACGAAACCGGAAACCAAGAGACTAGACGCTGGTACACCTTCTGATTGCGTAAACAGCGTGTACAGAAATTACGACACTATAGCCTGTGGTACTGAACACGGTCACGATTTCCAGACGGAAAGGAATGCGACGCTCTGGTCTGCTACCACGAGAAGGACTCCAGCCTGGTGATCGGTATAGTGGTGCCCACCCTGGAGACCAGGCATCGGTACAAGTGCACCGCCCTGGAGCTCTCCCATCTGAATCAAAACTGTAAGTACTCGGGGTTTAATTAAACAAGGCGACTAATTCCACCGTGGCGAGCAGCTATCGTTAATCCGATAACTACATTTGTCCAGTACAATGGACGCCTACTTAGTGACAATATTTGAAACCTTTTTTGACGATCGGCAGTACGAACCTTCTTTAACCCCTTGTCTTCTTACGAGATCGAGTCAGACACGTGATAAAAATTTCATAATGAATTTAGTAAATATATTATTCGGTTTCTTTAAGTCGATATTAAATACTATTTCACTGGTATTAACATTTAAGGTTGAGGCATCTGGGATAATATTAACGATAAAGTAATTCTTGAGAGTGAAATCGTTAAAAAGAATCGTATGGCAAAGGGTTAACCTGATAGGAAGACAACTCCAATGGGGATGATGACTTTTTTCGTCGTGTAAATTTTTTTTAATAATGCGCATTAAAACCTAGCGTTGCCATTAAAATATATACATAGGGTCCATTCTAAAATGAGTTGAGCAAAATTTAATTCCCTGGTTGACAGGTTGAATGCCATCGAAACATTAGGAAAACGGTGTTACCGAAAGAAATACTGGTATTGATCGGTTTCTACAAGGGTAGGGCTTATATAGGGTTATATAGAGCAAAGCCAGAACCGAAAATACCGGTATTTAACGTTACGATAAAAGTCCATCATTACCGCATCGACTAGAGCAAAACGTTATAATAGAAACCTCCGAACGCTAATCGAGGCTTTACTGTATCTTTCGTTTTCACGTTTCCATAAACGAGCAATTATCGTGAATCCAGTCCGAAAATGCACCAACCGATTTACAAAGACGTTCGAGTAAATTGTTATATCATAGGGATGTCAAACAAACCCGTCTTCTCGAGGAAGCATGGCAAAAAGTGGCTCGTCGATCATCGCGGCTCTTTCGACGGCCGAAATGGGTTCCGATTGCCGTGTGTGTGACCGTAGTCTAGTTTCGCGGGCGCATCTCATGAATATCAACAGGGGTTAGGCGCGCAACGTGATAACGGAGGGATGGGTGGTTGACGTAAAAATATTCAGACACTAATTTCCTTCTAATTGGCGGGACGAAATTGGGCCGTGTACAGTAGGTGTGAGCGCGTACGCCTGTCGACCGCGATTTTATTAATGCAAATTGCTGCAGGCCGCCACCCGGCCCCAATCCGGGGATGCAAAGCAACCTATACATAAATTTCATTTCGCCAGGCCGGGGGACTTCCTTCTTTTTTTATAGTTTTACGCTAGCGGAAATTCTCGACCTCCCTTGTACACTCGATAATCGGAAATTTACGCCTCCCGTTACACCTTGCGTCCAACTATCGAAGGCTAGCGTAATAGGTCCCAACGATAATCCCCAGTGACGACTTCAGAAATCATCCTGTTGTAGGATAACAGTCACCTAACAGTAAAAAACTCTGGTCGAAATTAATCTTATTAGCAGTTCATTCTAAGTTAATTATTCTGTGTAATATAAACTACAATATAGCTTAGTGTAGTGTAATATAAAGTGTGCAAGAAATTAAAGGTCAACATAAACTCCGATGAAAGTATCATTAGGATTTCGGTAATTTTAAAATAGGAAATCCGTCATTTTGACGGGCACGATATTTTTGGTGTTAACTTTTCAAGTCTGTCAAATCCCGGGATGAACTCAGGGTTAATTGTCGCAAGTGTTAAAACCTCGTTGGTACCTCTAAGAAAAGGTCGTTAGGGACCATTCGAAAACCGCATTTCCCCCTTAATTATTCCTCATAAATGCACATATACGTGGGTAGGATGACCGGAAGATAACAGGGGTAGGATCCTCCAGGATCATGGGAATCACGACTGGGGAACTTAGGAAATTGAATTAGAAAGTTAGCCGCTTTCTCGGACACGTCGAGTGTGTCTCGTTTGTCTCGTTTGTCTCACGGAGACGGCCGTGGTCTCGAATTAGGTGTGTATACGAGGGGTGGAAGCCCCGTGCCAGAAGCCGACTCTGCGTTTTCGCACCGCAAAGTTCTGATAATGCCCCCGAAACCGAGAAACTGTTACGATCTCTATCCTCCAGCCGAGCTGTATTTCCTCGACTCGGATGCATTTCGTGTGGCTGGGTCCTAACCGACGTCCCGTGAACACGGTTTGCGCGTGTGAATTTCTCGCGCGCGGTGATCTTTCCGAAATTGAAACGTTTCCCAGTGGAAACTGGAATCTACGGTTGGGATTCGAGAGATTTTCGTCAGAATTTCGCGAAAATCGAAGTCTTGAATTACATTTCAACGACGTTTCAACGAAGATTCATATTAGAACTTGCACGTTTCTGCATATGGCGGCGATGACGTCATATGTTAGGTTATGTTAGTACATAGTCGATCGGATGTCACAGGATTATTACGGTGACTTGTAATACCGTTAAAGAAAAAACTGCCTGTTGCTATCCTTTCGATTGTCTATTGAATGTAAGATGGTAATAATAGTATATGAAACATCGACTTACAGGGAGCCTGGAGATCGGTCCTCACGCAGCATCCAGCCGAAGGGTGATCGTGGTCCTTAGTCCCGCGTCGTTAGGCAACATTTGGAACGAGGCCAGCGTCGGGACGGTCCTGAAGCAGCTGTCCACGCTCGCGAACCGAACGATCGTGATAGCGACGAAGAATTTACCGAGCGTGACGACGATCGCGAAACGATCGACCAGAGGATGCAACGACACCGGCGAGCTGTGCCTCGATCGTTTGCAGATCTTGTGCTGGAACGACGGAGATGGCGCCACCGGGGCAAGCAACCGGAAGTTCTGGTATCGGCTTCGATTGGCGATGCCACCGGTCCGACCGATGGGTAACGAGACAGGCTGTCAATCAGTCGCCATGATCGTCCAGGCGAACGGAAAATGTGGACAGCAGAAGGCTCGATCGCGCGAGAGCCTCGAGGTTCTTGTCTAAACTCGCGGTGGAATCGTGTCGACGAATCACTTAACCGATTCATCCGTTTCTTCCTTTCCTTCCGTCACGCCGATCAGTTAACGGAAACCGTATCGAAATCTCGAAACGGTTCGCTCGTTCTTCCTCTGGAACGCAAAAACGATCGATGTGTTCGATAATCGAAAGCTTGCTCGATTATCACTTCCTCGAATCTCGAACAACTACGCCTGGATTTCCTCGAGCCGTGTGTAGAGGTGAAAAAAAAAAATGTAATTCCTCTGCAACGGTGTATAGCATTTTACTTGCGCATTTTCTTTTAGGTCTGAAATTCAACCTAGCTTGACGCTCCCGGATATTCGAATCCGAGGAAAGCTATCTTATAACGGCACCGTTGAAGTTTCTTTCCCCGAAGTGGGTTTTATCCACGACTGGTTCAAATTTCACAATCGTATATCGATGAAAGTTTCAATAACGTCCATCTCGTAGTAGATCACGTGTTTCCTGCACGCATTTTCTCTTCCCTGGTTCACTTTTCTTGTATCCACAAAAGTAGATCTAATATTCTGTCCTCGTGCAGGATACGAGAGGAAAGTGGAGAAACGGACGAATCCCGCCAGTCTTCCGTCTTGCGAGGCGAAGTTTTAGGACGGTCCTGTCCACACAGGTGGAGCTGCGTCGCGTCTGCTACGGGGCGCCATATTCGAATCCATAAAAATACCCCCAAAGTAAATACCGATCGAGCCCCTCCCGACACCGTGCCGGACAGGATTGCCTTAAATCGGGGCGAGACAAAGAAAAAGAAAAGAGACCGAGTAGAAAGCGAATCTCGTCTGTGCTCGGCGTAGCACACGCAATCGGTGTGTCACGCGAGCCTCTTTTCTCTGTTTGTATATATTGGATACATATCGGTGCTCCTTTATTTATTTAGTTAGCCGTGTATTTTATTTATAACCGTTTAGGTTCATCGGGTTTACGAGAGACGACGGACACGGAAACGCAGAGCGATCTGCATTTCCGGGCGCCATGTTTCTTTCGCGCCGCGAGTCGAAACGAATATCGTAGATATTTTATACTGTTTTGTACATACATGTAAAAGGGGGAGAGGATATATATATATATAGATATATACATACTTATACGTATATGTATATATATACGCAAAACACACACATACGTATGTTTTTATAACAATTCTCGGAGGATTATCACCGCGTCGAGGAACTTACGAAAGACTTAGAACATAACTTGTATCCGGGAACCGTGACGTAAACGATAATCCTGTCGTTCTAATTTTAAGCTGAAACATTACCTGTAATCGTATATACAGGGTGGCCCGTTTTAATCTACGAATTTCGTTTACAATTCCACCTACGAATAAAATATATCGAACGGTTACCGAACCACCGATGCGATATACGATACGGATACCGCCCCCCCCCCTGTCGAGTGTAAATAGATTAAGATGGGTTACCGTTGATGCCGTGTTATATATTGTATACCACGTTTCCGCTTGCCGGCGGTACCATACGGCTTTATTGTACGCGCATTGTACTAGCCCGTTTAATTGAGTGTAAGTGTACTTTAGGTGTCGCACAGACAGACCCGCGAGGTGAGCTTAATTTTAATGTCCATATGGTAATCTCTTTACTGTCAGTATTACGATACACTAGTGTACTTGTCTCGCGACGGGCCACGCATGCGCGACAGATACGCGTCGCGAGGGATCGTTGCGAGCCGAGTAAGCAGAGAGGTATAGACGTAGAAGTTGAACTCGTTTGTTCGTTAGCGATAGAACACACATATACACACACACACACACACACACACACACAGGTGGTTACGACACGAAACGGTTGAGCACGCGCGTTTACGGAGAAATATACCGCGTTTTTATTTTCTTGTATTTTTTCTTTTTTTATATAAATGTACACCTGTATATTTTTTTGTTTATAGCGACGATTCTAGGATTTCCTACAGGGGAACAGACCCCGTTTCCGTTTTCATAGTCGCGCGCACCGGTAGGATCGTCGTGTTTTAATAAGGCTCCGAGTACCAAAAAAAAAAAGAATGAAATAATAATAAAGCAGGTCTGTTTCTCTTTGCGACGAGAAAAAGAAAATGTTTGTTCGTGAGAACCGATATAATAAACGAGAATATTTATATTTCCGGAGAGAGCCGTCGGTGTCTGTTTACTTTCTTTTCTTACTTGAAATCTGTATGAAATAAAGTACATTTCGCAAACTCCCGTATGAAAACCACTGCCGCTCATTTTTCAGACGACCGAATGGTAAACGGGTTGCGTAACGCCCGCGACGTGTGGGATCGAGGGAAACGGGGGTTCCAGGAACCGGTGTGAAATAAACGTCCCCCAAATACCGCGCGGTTTTTTGTAACGCAAATAATGCTCCGCCATCTATATATTTTTTTTTTGTTTCGTTTCATAATAATTAAATTACATAGGCACTTGTACGTAAGGCAATTGTTTTTCTCACCTAAAAGTACAATACACGCTTACTTGTACGACGAGTAAGAAGATAGTGTACCGTGTGACATTTAACACATATGAGAGACGGGTAAGTCACTCGAATGTTGCGTACGAAAATGTGTACTCTTTCGATAACGCGCAGTACAAACTGGCCAAGTGTTTGCTCGCGTTTGAAAAACACGCACACACACACACACACACACGCGCGGATCTCGTTAATTACGCGCTACGCACACGCATGCACCGATTAAGCGTATTTCGCGACTGTGTCAATATTAACAAGGTTGCGTGAGTTGCGAGCGCGATAGTAATCGACAAATTCGAACTCGCGAATCGTTCGACTATTAATATATGTACATAGGTCAAGTACATCGGTGTTTTAATAAAAACTGTTTCGACATAGTATATATCGGACAAACTGATTCTGTCCTTAGGAAGTAACGTCACATTCTGTTCTTTGAAACGATACACAAATTTTTGTACTTATAGCACCGACAAGCAGGATCAAGAGGAAACGAGCATCCTGCGTTTTACACACTTCTCGATTAAGTGAAAAACGGTCCCTTAACTGTGTGCTGTATGCATGTGTACCTCTGCAGTATACAAAAATAGTAAGACGCGACGCGTTTTAAGTATACAAAGGCTTGCGGCGGCTTTTCAAGGCAACAGTTTTCTGCATAAAAATATATCGGACTGGTTTACAAAAGGTCTACGTAATAATACTGTGTATCCAGGAACGCGACGCGTTCGGTCGCGGGAGAAGTACTCGAAGAATGTCGAATTACGATCAGTGATGATACTTCTGATGTAATTGATTGAAACAACACAATCGCGTGCTTCGATTACTGGGGAATCCTCGGGAATATTCGTACAAAAGGACTATTCCTTAAAATTATAAAGTATTGTAACCTATAAATACGATGCGACTCAATGTGGAGTCCAACATTGAAAATTAATGAATTTCACTAGAAAAATGATCAAAGGGCAGTCGAAGTACGATTCTGGTAACTTTCACGAGCCACTTCTTTCAAGGCTTCCGCCATCGCCGGTCCAGTCTCGTTCACCATACTAGTTAAGTATCCATCGTTCTTTTGTAATAACACGTGAGGCGCGTCGAGTTCCTACACCAAAACGAAATCAACGTTAATTGAAGTAATTTCTGAAACACTTAGAATTGAGTGTAATGCTGGGAAGAAGAGAAACTCACCACTGCGAGGCCAGCATCCATCACTAGAATACGATCGCTATCCATAACAGTGTTAAGTCGATGCGCGATGGTCAACACTGTACATTTGGCGAACTTTTTCCGTATAGTTATTTGGATCAGTTCGTCGGTACGTGGATCTACGTTTGCTGTAGCCTCGTCGAGAACAAGAATCGGATTGTTTCTGACGATAGCGCGTGCTAGACACACGAGCTGTCGCTGACCCACGCTAAGATTAGAACCGCCTTCGTTGATGTGAGCCTCCAGGCCCATTTCCTTTAGTTCAACTTCTTCCAGTGCCTGCCAGAGCACGTCGTCGTTGTAGTTGTTAAATGGATCCAAGTTTCTCCTCAACGTGCCCGAGAACAAGAACGGTTCTTGGGGGATTATACTGATCTTGCAACGTAAATCGTGGAGACCGATTTCGTTGGCCTTCACGCCATCTATCTTGATCACGCCCTCGAGATCCGCCAGGCGAAACAGAGCCGCAATCAAGGAAGACTTTCCGGCTCCTGTTCTCCCAACAATTCCTATCTTCTCGTGAGGATAAATCAGAAAGTTCAGGTTCTTCAGCACCGCAGGCTCCGCGGGATCGTACCTCAACGACAGATCTTTGAATTCAACGCTACCCTCGTCGGGCCAATCATCCTTGGGCTTTTTATCCGGAGCACTCTCGAGCGGCGGTTCGCTCTCTATTTTACTGCAAGACAAAATGTAGATCGAACAACGTTAATTCCTTAAGTTTTCTGTACGGATCGGTTAAGCAAACACCTACCTATATTCTAAGACACGTTCAACGGACGTCATTTGATTCTCCAACTCAGTACTTTGCCGCATACCCCACTGGAACATACCCGTCAACCCAATACTCTGCGTTATAGCCAGGCCCACGTTACCACCGAGCACTGCGCTGTCTCCCAAAATCAAGAAGCTGTATGTGACCAAGGTGATGTAAACAACGCAGAAGAAATCGAGCCACAATCCGAATGCCCTTGAGGACGCTATGAATATGTACCACGCGGACGAGTGCAAGTCTTGATGATGATCGAATTCTTTCGTCAGAATTTCTTCTGCTCCGAACGCGCGTATCGTTGGCAGCCCTTGAAGAGTCGCGTTCAAGTGTCCAAATACCGGCGATCGAGCTGCAGATAAATAAGTTCAATGTAGATTTACGGATAGTGACGTCGGAAGTTTAATTCCAATAATCCTCCGAAAGTACTTACTGATTCCTTCGAGGCGTTTCACGCTGCGACTAGTCGCCAAATAGAACACACGTATGTAGTAGAAGACTACTCCTATGGCCACTGTGGGTATCAGTAGCCATGGATTAGCCACAGAGACCACCACTATTATTCCAAGAAGAGAGAGTCCAATTTGTATACAGTCGATCAACGCAGTGGGTAACATCTCGTCTATCGCACCCATATCCTTCGAGAATCTGTTCAAAACGCGACCCGATGTGTTCGTGTTGAAGAAACGCATCGTTGCGCGGCTAATGCATTGAAACATTCGATCGTGCAACCGAATAGACGCTTTCATGCACGCTATGAAAAAGGTGAACGAACGCGTTAAGGTGATTACGATCGTGAATACGGTCAAAGCACTGAACAGGTATATACAAAGCTCACGGCTTATGGGACTTTGCCAGTCCATTTCAAGTTTACCATTTGGCAGTTCTGTTACCTTTAAAAAAAATTCTAGTCAGACGGCGCTACAATCGTAATCGTGCGAGCATGATAAAGTAGAGAATTCGTAAAGTGGATACCTACGTATCTCTCCTCCATATTGACCCATTGAGAGATGAAGAAGTCACCACCACTAGCTGCCAGCTGCGCTAGTATGCACAGCAAGAGAACTACAGTTACAACCCACCAATTCCCGCAGGCTGTGAAATATCCCGCGTATACATCGCCGGAAACCTTCCCTTTCGTGCGTGTCTCGGCCACCTACGCATATTTCGGAAAACGTTACAATTATTCGTACATTTCACTTTGCACATTCTACTCGTATTTATGAAATATTTACCTCAACCGGATCAATCATCTCCGTGGCGGCACTCGCGTGTGAACTCAAAGATGTTATACTGGCATTCCGTGAGTTGCTTCTGCTCGGAACACCGACGGAGGCTCTTCGTTCCGCTTCTCCGAGTGCTTGATTCTCCACCAACCGTCCGAAATCTATCGCCATTGTCAGTAGTTCATCATAAGTACCTTCCGCTTCTATTTTTCCGTCCTTTAAAACGATTATCCTGTCGACGTTACGTAAGTACTGTAGCTGATGCGTAACGAGGATCCTAGTCTTCCCCCGTAAGTACTTGTCTACACATTCTTCGAACATGTGCTTGCCCACGTGAGCATCCACAGCGCTCAGAGGATCATCGAATAAGTACAGATCAGCTTCCGAGTACACCGCTCTGGCTAAATTAATCCTAGCACGCTGTCCCCCCGACAAGCTAATACCTCGTTCACCGACAATCGTTTTATCGCCATATGGCAGCAGGCTAAAGTCCCTTTTTAATTGACAAACTTTTACCACACGATCGTACCGGAACTGATCCATCTTCTTCCCAAACAGGATATTTTGCCTGACCGAACCGGCAAATAGCCATGGTTCTTGACTAGCGTACGCCAGTTTGCCGTTTATTTTCATAGAGCCAGCGTGAACAGGCAATTCTTTTAATATGACATTAAGTAAACTACTCTTCCCGGCGCCAACTTGCCCAACGATAGCCAGCAGCTCGCCCCGTTTTACTTTGATGTTGATGTTCTTCAACGTCTCTTCTTCTTCGTCCATCAACCACTTCGCGCTCATGTTCTTTAAGGAAACGCAGTAATCTTCTTGCCCATGGTTTATATCATTTTTATCGTTGTTCATGTCATTGATTACACCGTTAACATTACTCTTGCTCTTTTCCGAATTTAAATCTTCTTTTTCACTTTCTTTCTTCTCCTGTTGCGGTTCAGTCTCATCGTACATCATAAACTTTTCCAGACGTTTTATGGAGACTAGCGCCTCCGCTACCTGCGTTAACCCTATGTAAGTAAACAGTGGAGTTAAGTCGGCAATTCAGTCCGGTCGATAAATGTTCATTCGATTATACTTGCCTTGTGGAAAGTATACGGTCATAGTCTGACGTAAAATATTATAGTACGCCGTTAACATGAACACTTTTTCGGCAGTTATTTTGCGATCGAACAACACGTACGCCAATATAGTAACAAAAAGTGACATTCTGGTACTGAATATGATAAAAGACATAGTAACACCTCTAATTATAGATGTGCCTCGAACAACGGAGATCTCCTTCCTGCGATTAATGTAAGGAAAAAATGGTTAAGTATTTCCAAGAGATTTAATCGCGTATAGAATTACCTTCTTGCTTTGTCAACCAGAGCGCTGAATGGCTTTTCCCAAGTGTACATTTTAATCGCCTGAATACCACTAATAATCTCGTTCGTCAAACGAACTCTTTCGTCAGTCCTTAGAGCAGTTTTTAATCTCAGAACTGAGGATTTCTTACCCAAATACCCTGCACGCATGTAAAGTACAATGTAAAATAAGACCACAACAAATATATCGTTGAAGAGAAGCGACCAAGATACGTACCTTGTAAGGGTATGAACATCAAAAGTGTTGCGACTCCGATAACGGCGGATACTTCAACTTCTCTGTACATGAAGTACATAATAATAATTGTCTCAAGAGGCCCGATCCATAAATAATGTAAAAATATAATCGATACATCGAATCTGTTGACATCGTTAGATAACAGATTTACTGCTTGTCCCACTGTCGTCTCACCCAAGGCTGTTCGTGAAAGCTTCAGCGCTTTCCTGTATATTAAGGAACAGCAAGCTACGCGCATCTTCATTCCCATGTGAAGTATGGCCATCATATATGGATGAAGAACGAATATTATCAATCCTGAACACAATATTACCCCGGTAGCGTATAAATAAGCTTCTGATTTTGTTATTTCATCGCTGCTGTAGTATTTCAACAATCTGCCAAGGAACAGCGGTTGAAGTACCCTGTATATGGAATAAAGAGAAGTTAGTATGTTTGTTTAACTGCGTGGACATGACATATACCATGCCCAAACTGCAACTAAAGTCACTATTGTTAATTAAAGTAAATGCAAGCAATGTTAAACGTAATAAGGAATATACATCAAAAGCTTAGTGAACTTTTCCAAAGAAAAAAATTTAAAGGACAACAAAGCGTCTAAGAAATAAGATACATAAGAGGAGTAGTAGGTACAGGATAGAAGGGTCTTAGGAACTTAACGATCTCGTCGCATCTTCATTTTCATGAACATGGGAGTCAGAAGAATTGTGTGATCTGGACAGTAATACACTATGCACAGGTACATAGTGTTTAATTTTCGTCTGATTGTAGTAACGAATCAGAAGGCCAAGAAACATGGGCTGTGATAATCTGAATCGGGAATAGAAAAACGTTTAAAATCCGCAAATGGAATTATAAGGCTTTATACAATAACAAAAATAACGGGTGTACTTAGTAATTGCAGTGTTTGTCTGATATATACCTGAGACAAATTTCCATAACGGCTAGAAGTAACCCATATATTAATAATTTAAGACCAAAACATTTGGCAAGTACTTTTGTTAAACTGGGCTTCTTCACATTCTTTTTCACATCATAGGCTTTACTAGCATTTTCCTTTCTTTCACTATTTAGCTTTCGTTTCTTATATGCTTGAACTTCCTCTTCCCATGCCTTTGAAATTCTTGCACCCAAAATGCTGCTTTTGTGTTCCTTGAGAGGTCTGTACAAATCTTCTATTTCTAATTCTTTACGGAAACCTATCCAAAAGGTACGTAGAACCCACCTGTTAATGGAAAACAAATTTTTTTATCACATAAACATTTCAATTAAAAATATTTCAAATCGAATTTAAAAAATCATATAGTTTGATTACATGTTTTATTATCTTCATGTCAATGCCTGTACTCAGTATATTATCTTTGTTTTGGATCATTTAATATCAACAGTAATTGATTAGAGATAACAACAAGTTCTACATATAACAATACTACTGGATAACATTAAACAGATCAAGAAGTCTAGTTATTTGCTCGGCAGTGGAATTCAAGATAGTTGTTGCTTTATTTACACAATGCTTATGTGTATCTGATATGGTGGTACTTTCCAAACACTGTTCATTTATTACCTTGATGTCATGTTTTTATTAGTACGCAATGACTAAGAAAAAAAAGCAATGTCATGATATTTTATTCAACTTACGCAAATGTTAAAACACTCAGAGGATTTGCTCCTTCTCTTGGGTTCTTTTTCCCTTCTGCTTTGACTTTTCCATCCATGATAATTTTATTTCTCTACTTGGCCTCTCTGTAAACATGATAAAACACATCCACCTTTATCAAAAGGAAACATAATCGGATTGATACACCCAATGAATCATGTATCAAAAGCAAGGATATTAATCTTGTCAACAAATTATGACAAAAGGTATACTTTATGAAACCATTTAAATGTTCCAAACACATATATAACATACCACTTGCAACAATGCGGAAATAAGTAAGGACCAAATAACTTGGAAAAAATACATTTATATTAACTGACATAAAAATATTATGCTGCATACAATAAACTCTTTAGAATTCAACAACAGATAATAAAGAACTTTGCTAATCTTTTAGAAGTCGATTCTACTTATTGTGGTATGTAATGTATGCATTGATAAGGTATTTGAGTAGATGCATAAATATGTACCTTAAGAATGTTAATAAACTGATACTACTTCGACAACCATAAGTGCATCAATATTTTATTTGCAACTAAAAGTAAAGAGAATCATATTTGAAATATATGTGTAATTCTATATATGTGGAAGACAAAATTATATGATAATGTGTAGTACTTAGAAATATAAATGCAAAATACACTTCACACAATGCATTCCAATATTCAATTAGGAACACCAGCTGTGAAACACATAATGTAAGCTTTTCCACGAACACTAAAATACTTATCTCCTGCATGTATCATATTGAACTTTACTCGTTACTTAATTGTCTAAAGAGTTGTTGATACAAATGATGCAATTAGTCACAAGCTAGTGACACATAAGCTAAACATACAAACTCACCATGAATTCTTTGATACCGCACGACAGATTGCTAGAGTTCCGTGATTCCTAATCGCTTTTGTCCGTTCAGTCGTATTCGAAAAGTATGTTAATCGCACATAACAATTTCTTGCCGTACTTTTGAAGAGCAAGCGTTGGTACGCTTTCATTCAAAACAATTATTCATCCACTCCAAACTGAACCAACAAACTCGTTCCTCGCAACAACGGTGTTTTTTAACTACAAGAACGTTTCGCGGAAGAATTCAGCGGAAGCTGAAGCGAAACGGATTTCCCAATTAACTACACCAATGAGTTGTACAATCACACTATCGTGTCCTTCGATTTTGCATTTTCCTCGATGATATTATCGTCTCTGAATAGATGGAACCGAATAGGAAACGATAATTCTTTGTGAAAAAATATATAGAAAGAATGAGACAAAGTTCGACGATACAGGGCACAGTGAATACTGGATCAGGATTCGATTCAATGAATTTCATTGTGTATATATACAACGGGTAGACGTAACATGTAATCGAAAATATTCTATTCTTAGCGCTCGGAACAGGTGCCGTCGGTACAACAACAAAACTAGACTGAACTGCGATTTGTTTTTCAAATAATACAAACAGATATTTACATAAGTTTGTACAGTTTGTGCGTAAACACTATAGAGGCTCGTAGACGGTTGAACTTGAATGAAGTGCGGGCAGTTCATGTTTTCAAATACAATTCCAACAAAAACAAAGCTGCGTGGTAAGATAAGAAATTCAGCATACTTTGAATTTCCGACGATGATAAATAATATACAGAGTGTCTCACGTAAAACCGACCTCACTCATCCCCACAAATCTACACATTTGAGAAAAACGTTACTTACGTTACAAAATAAAATTTGGCAAATGACACTCTTTTAGAACCAAATTTTTTTCATAAACCATTACAGAATATTTTTGCACGTAGAATCATATTCAAGCTGACCCGCAAATTATAAAAATTTATCGTTTGAGGGGGGTCAATTTTACGTGAGGCACTCTATGTGTACATTTGACACACATTACTCAACCGTAATCTACTGGGCGAAGGTAATACTTTGTGATTACAATCACGGTTTTCACTGAAATCTATTAGAACTTACGATATCGAATGATGAGGTAAACCGTTTGTAATGAACACAATTCATTCTGTGAAAGAGGAATCAAAAATACTGAGTCGGCATATCTGCATTTGCGGACACTCAGTTTTACAGGAAAACATTTCTCACAAACGATGATAGTCACAAAAGTCGCTTATATAATGATAGATTGCGATCTTCGGGTGTCGAAACAGCGTGATACAATCGATTAAACGGTATTTTCATGATTGTCAATAATGATTCATTTAGTGTTAATGGGATCGCGTTCGATACTCGAGTCATTGGAAGAATATTTCTCACGCTGGTCCCTAGGGATGAACACATTAAAATGTAATGATTCAAGCGCAATAACAACAGAAGAACGTGTACAAAGCACGAGGAGAAAAATTGGCTCAGTGTTACATTTCACTTACGATTGAACACAAGATAAATCCTGCCTAATTTCCAACATGTGAACGTCCCATCACTTTTCGATTACTCAACTCGTCGGATGTCAAGTGACGTCCAGTTAAGTAGAAGACCGTTACTCGACTGACGACTGACTGACACAACTGACTGGCGTTGAACTGGCTGTCGCTTCTAACATGTGTCATTGGTTAACCTTACATCGACACGTGATCAGGAACAACGGCAATGCTGGATTGGATGAATTGGATCTACACCCTGCACCTTTAAATGAATATCAATGTCTGTCTAGTTTCTCCAAACTATCATATCATTTCATGCCGTCCTGCACTTGCGATTGCTGCGTCATCTCTCGAGGGAACATCGGAAACTGAATTTCCTCATACCTCCTCTAACGTATTTATATCTTCGACCGAGGCATCCGAAATGCATTGTCATCAAGATACACATGTAAAATCGGAATGGAAAGGGTAAATTGATTGCATGAAAATTGATACCTGATGTGTTCACACAATGACTGTTAAAAAAGACTATACTTTAATCAACAATGATTGCCCCCATATCGACGTCAGGAGCTATAAATGATAACTAAAAATGTGTATATTGTAAATAGCTATTAAATATTAGTTTACTGAGTTGTAAAGAAGTTTAAACTGTTTCGAATCTAAGCCTATTGCATAGGATACATTCAAATGTGCGCTACATATTGAATTTCCACGACAGTAAAGTACAAACGGCTGCCACCTCGCGGAGATACGCGGAACTACCGATTGACTAGATCAATCGATACAAACGGTACATAAAAACACGGAACATTTGGAACTCCTTCGATACTTTATTTTTCTGTAAAATGGTCTGGGAATTATAACGAAACTAACAGGGAATAAGTTTAAGATTTATTTCACGGAATCCATCGAACTTTCGATAACATCTTCTGTACAACATATATAATTCCATTCCGTACGTAGTAAAATCTAAGAGAGGAAAATTGGAGATGTGTTAGAACACAGTTTTAAGTACACATTGCACGCGCATACAAAGAAATATGACTTTGTTTATGGATTGTGTTGTACTTGTTAAGAATACACGACGAACATATCAGTCTTTAGTTAAACACATTCATTCCGCCCGGCAAACAGAAAATGCTTGTATATATGTTGCATGTATTTTAATTATAATTACTATATCGCATAGTAATTGAATTCATATTGTGCATGTGTATGGAACTGCAGATTTTTATTGAATTTGCCGAAAATGAAATTAAATAGAGCCTGCACATTTGTAGATCTATAAGAAACGTATTAACATTTCCAAGGACCAATCTTTTATTCAAAGCCGACAGCTTTATTACTTCGAGAGCCGTAACGACTATGACTGAAACGTTCACGTATACGTTACACACACCGTTGAACTGACATGAAATGTTCTTGGACTTCAAAGTTCTTTCTGTTCACATATTAAATAAAATTCGCTCGGGTTTCCATTTAAATACCATTACCTGTCGGCGAAAAGATTATTCGAAAAGAAGCAACGGTTGGCAGCAAAATGGAGGGAAAGGGATCAAAGAACCGTTACGAAGCGATACATAAATTTCAAAGCTTATTTCTCAATTTCAGCTTCTTCGTATGGCGTGCTCTCATTCAACGAAATTTCACAGAACCTTGTTTCAGAAAGTACATGTTGCACGTAAATTAATCGTATTTGGCACCCTTTTCGCTAGAAAGCACGGCATATGCACGCGCCTTCAGTTCGCTGCCCTCGGGTAAAAGCGTCTATTACACTCTTGGTTACGAAAAACTCGCGTGTCTTTCGTAGGACAAAAAGAAAACAAAGACGAACCAAGAAATAAATACAGAGCTCTTTCTCTCTCACACTCTCTCTCTCTCTCTCTCTCTCTCTTGTTAAATACAAATAAATACGATAACAATTAATACATACATATATAGGTATATATACGTATACATACATATATATTGTAATAAGAGTAAATATATCTACAACACGGTTTCGATAATGTAAAAAGAGAGGAATATCTACACCTACTATCGCTGATGATGAATAAGATTCGATCGAATTCGTACAGAGATTGCTTATCTCAACCGAATCCCATTTGTCATTCCCGTTTTCGCGCGTTGCAGAAAGTTGTGCAACACCCGCGGATGTGGGATGATATGGAGGGCGGTTAAAGCGCGTCGATCCAACGATACTAATTGCAATTAAACGCGGCGTTACGATTTCCCCGTGGTAAACCTGCGTGTAATTGCAATTACAAGCACCGTGGATTCGCGGACGAGAAAGACGCAGTTAGACCACCTCACCCGTACGAGGAGAGGATTCGTCAAGTGCGTTTCAAAATACGGGGGAAACGGGCGCGCAGTCTATCAGAATGGGTAACCGACAACGCGTTCCAGTCCGATCGAATCATCGATAGTAAACGGGTACAACCTTTGTGTAATGATTTCCGGGAATCCGACGATCGCGACGTGATCAGAACGAGGGATCGAACTATCGAGGTCGAGTGCTGGCTCACGCGCGAGAGGGATTACTACCGATCGAAGATTAAGTGTTTCGATTGGAATTCGTGAAATCCTTTGCCGAAAGCTGGCCCATATAATCGTTATCGGTGACTACACGATGGTTATTTTCGTCGAACAGATAGTATTGTATTTTCAAAGGTGAACTGCAATTTTAGTTTCATTCAACTCGATTATTACCTCTCTCTCTCACACACACACTCACTTTCATTCTCTCTCTTTCTCTCTCCCTTGCGCCCTCTGCCCATCCCCACCATAAAATGCATTCAAGGAGAACAAGCTTCCGCGAAGTCTTCCGGCGATATTCCCGCGAAACAAGCTCGTTCTCGAAAGAGGTCCGCTTTGCACCTGAAAAGGAAAAACGACACTTAGGTGAAACTCGATCTAACATGGTTATATATCTTTTATAATGATGCGCGTGGTGGTGTGAATTGCATTGTTTTAATTGTTTTTACGATAAATGTCATACATTAGAATGTAAAAAATAGCTGTTACCGATTACAACCGTAAACAATACATTTATTAATATATTGGAAACACTTGAGTGTTGAACCCAACATTCCGACATATATTATATTAGTGTACCGCGTAAACCAGGGAGAACGTAACAGTAATCAGGGATCATTTCAGTAATATCTGACTTGTTGCATGGTTGCCAAGAAAAACGGTATACGTATATACCTGACGCGATTCAGTGGCCTCGGTGAGTCCCGTCCCTGTTCAAGTGTTCTCCGGTTGGCTCAGATTGCTGTTCAGTAGCTCGGTGTTCGCGTTATTCCCGTTGCTCGCAGCGTTCAATCTTTGCTTCTCCTTCAGCTTCTTCTTCCTGCGTTTATTCACTTTGTGCACGCAGAAGAGCACAACGAACAGACAGACGAGAAAACCAGCGATGCAACTGGCGACCACGATCCAGGTGTACCTTGCCTTCTCCGTCTCGATCTTCAGCCGCATGATGTCCGCGCACCGATCGTACAGCTCGTTGGTCCTGTTACTGAACTCGGCGTTCGATGGGCAACCGCTTTTCAGCTCGTCGGTGCAATTGAACACCGGCAGCACGCGTATACCGCGAGTCTTCAGCCATGAATTCAACGTCTGGCACTCGCAGGCGGCCAGATCGAACTTGATCGGATTCCTGGAGAGATCGAGCACCTTTAGGGAGCAAAATGGAGCCAGATCGTCGGGCGTCACCGACGTGATCGAGTTGCCCGAGACGTTCAGATGCATCAGAGTCGGGACCGGGCCCAGTTGGGGAATACGGCAGATCTTGTTCTTCGACACTTGGAGGAAATTCAGGGGCGACATCACGTCGATCTCGGTGAATGCGTCGTCGCGAAGCATATTCCCGGACAGATACAACTTCCGTAGATAGGGCAGCTGGTAGAGGTTTCTGGGCAGTTTGTCGCAGCCGTTCGTCGACAGATCCAACACCTCCAGGTAACGCAGGTTGCTAAACGCCTCCTCGTGAATGTCCCCGATGAAGTTGTCGCCCAGATAGAGGTACGCGAGGTTCGTGTACGCGGCCAGGCTGGTGTTGGTCACCTCGCGGATCCTGTTCCCAGACGCGTCTAGAATCTGCGGAGAGAGTACGGCCGAATTAATCGTGTGTCACGACGTTTATTATAGTCGTCTACTTTATTAAACGAGCACAGAGTTTCTTTCGCTGAATTTTAATCTTTACTGTTTTGAACACCTAGGGGTCTTACCTAATTACTACCCTTAATTACTGGGATCGATTTTTCATTGATTCTAGTTCTCGTAAAACAGACGATCTAGTCTTAATTCATTACCCCTTGAAGGTGAACTGTGGTTTTCTTTTTACAACCACTTCGAGAGCAGAAGAAAGTATATGTACGTAATTTATTTTCAGTCTTTCCGACCTTGAAAAGGACCTTGGTTTAAAAAATTTTCATTCATCCATTGCGACGTACCCACTCTCATCCCCACCACTTTTCTTTTCTTCTATTTAACCTTCTTTTATGAATACATACTACGCTTCTAACTTTATTGCCTCCTGTTCCTTTACCTTCCCATCTATTTCTCTTAACCATCCCCTATTATCCTCCCATTTGTTGTCCCTTCTAGTACTCTGTCTACACTACATTCTCGTCTAAAGTAGGAAAGAGTATCGAACTGTAATCCAAGTAAAGATCAATCGACCCACCTGAATGTCCGTCTTCAGAGTGGTAGGAATGTAAGGCAAGCCGAGGTTCACGCAGCGCACCTGTAGCATCGAGTAAGCTTTGCTGTATTTACAAGTCCTCGAGGGGATGTCCTGGTCCATGACCAGAGTCGAACCCGCCGATCCTAGCACCATAGCGTCCGGCATCGTGGCCACGACGAATCCCATCATCAATAGCCCGTTCACTAGCAACAAGCTCATGTCTGGAACAGAATAAGCGGATTTTCCTAGCTGAAAACTCGGAGGCTGAGCGGCTCGAGCGTTTCGAGAGGTTGGCGGGTCGGTTCCGTGAATCGACGAACTCTCGAAGATGGAGGGGGGGGGGGGGCAACTTCACGACGGATCTCTCAACGTGGATCATGAACTTATCGGAAAGTTCCTTCGAAAAAATCGAATCATATCAAATCACGTCGAATCATATCGAATCGTATCGAATCATATCGAATCATATCGAATCATATCGAATCACATCGAATCACATCGAATCACATCGAATCACATCGAATCACGTCGAATCATATTGAATCACGTCGAATCATATCGAATCATATCGAGTCATATCGAATCACATCGAATCATATCGAATCATATCGAATCATATCGAATCATATCGAATCATATCGAATCAAATCTTTCAATTCGTTTAATTTCAATTTAATTTATTACTATTAACAGGAAGACCCTTTTTATACAAAAATTTAACAATAATAGCATCGAATCGAATTGGAAATCGAGTAATCGGTCAGTACTCGCTTCCACGGCCGCTTTCTTTACGTTCTCAGTGATTGTCTCGAGAAAAATCGCAAAAAGTCAAGAACAATTTGACGGGTCCCCGCGGATGCATTATTCCACACGTTAACCACCGCTTTCGACCTGCTTGCAAGGGGGGGAACAATGACGAGAGAATATCTGAGAGGCATTCTCGATGCAGGTTTCTCTCCGAGGGGGAGGAAGGCGAACGGATACATCGCGTGAATTTTTTAACGGGTCGGAATACCTATCGGTTGGCCACGAGGCTCGGGGGTTACCCGCTATCCCGGACGTAACTTGGATCCTCGTGACACGGACTCTATGAAATATTAGAAAGCTTATATTAATACGGAAGGAGATGGTCTTTTATCGTCCCGTTCGCTTCCCTCCGGGGAATCAAGTTGTCGGTACAATCCTCTCTGGTAGTAATAGTCCCTGCATGTAAATTTGCACTTTCAAAGATTTTTTTGCACGAACGGAATTGAATTAGAAACCCCTGATTAGATTTAGTCGAGGATTTTTATAGTATTGTGTAAGCAAGAGAATATTTGTTCTTAACCCTTCTACTACCCCAAAAGCCAAAATATCGTCACCACGGTCTTTGCCACAAATACCTTGTTGCAAATTCAATTTGCAATTTTGATAGAGAAGTGGCTAAATATAAAATACTTCCAACATTTCTAATGTAAAACGAAACACATTTTACAATAATATATGGAAAAAAGAGTTATCTTTCTTTGTCGAAAAAGGGGGTTAATTTTAATAAATACCTTACAAAATCCATAATTCTCCAAGGTATTTGTAGACGGTACACAAAGAAATTGTAAGGTACTAAGAGGATTAAATTCAGCGAAATGTTGAAGGTTATGCTTTCATTTACACCGCATAATCGTCGCGACGTCACGTAACGATGGATCGGTGGAACATGATCGTCGAGGAATTCGTTCGAGGATGCACAAAGAAATCGGTTTACCATTCGCTGGTGATTCACGGTGTTAGCCGTAGTCAGCAGGTTCTGAAAGAAGGCGCGGTGTGTTTATTGTGCCAGGCTCCGATGAACTGCAGAGCCTCGAAACGCAAGCAGCGGCTAACTTTATTCTCCCGCGGCCAGACTTCTCCATAAACTATCCATTTGGATACAGTGTTCCTTCAATTACCACGATCTTTGGAATCTCCGAGGCCACCTTGCAGAAATAATACCGTCGAAAAAGAATATTACCGGTGCTAATATTCTTTTCAGGTTAATTTCTTTACTGGAACGGTTCAGGACTAGCGAGGAAACTATACAGAATAATGGATACAATTTCACGACCGTTTCATTGGCTAATGACTTATGTCTTTGTCGCCTTTCATTGGTCCATCGGTATCCGCATATTTCGCTATTGGCAAGACCGAAATAAGTCCCGCCCACTGTTATCTAACCTCGTGGAATATATTGGGGATAGCGAAGTGATTATAAAGAGGTCTACGAAAGCGCTTTATCGTACATAAAATACGTTATCGATTATAGAAATTACTTTCGGTCCTACCTATAATCATTTTTATGGACTTTCCAGTGGAAGTTCAATCGAACCTCGTTACCTCGACAAATCGTGGCTCTAGTCTTAACTGTTCTAACTCCATTTTTCAACAAAAATTTCGTTAAACCATCTACGTGTGTCTCATTGGTCCAAAGAATACAAATTCAACAGAACCTACAAAACAACAAATGTTCTTTTAAGCCCTAACCCCGAAACTTTGAAAGTTTTTTTCGTCCTAACGGTAAAAAGTTATATTAATAATAAGATAAAATTTCCGTTTGATTATTTCACTACTTTCCTGCTTCACTAATATTAAACTTGGTGAAACTTTAAGCTCAGTTTTCTCAGCTTAGAAACTAGTGGAGATAGAACCTAAAAAAGACAATATAACAAAGACCCTGTTGAATTTTATCAATCTTTTTCACTTCATTCCGATCTACTTAGAACATTCTGAATTGAAATATCCGAAACCACGCGATATTTCACAGGTGTCCCATGTCCCAGAGCCTAATAACCGACCATTCCCAGGTGAAATGCCGCCGATAAGTCATCGTACGAAAACCCATTGATTCGATCGGGCGCTCGAAGCGCGCATTCGTGTTTCCTGGCTTTTTCACGCCCGTCACGTTCTTTTTGGTTCCCGGTTTCAATTTGAAGCGTGCGTTTTTACGGGAAACGGTCAGCCGCAATCGTTCGTAATTGTTCGTGTAGTCGCAGTCTTCCTCGCAAAAAAAAAAAAAAAAAAAAAAAAAAACCACGGCATCGGACACGGAGCACGATTCGTGAGTTTTGCAAATACATTCCAGCAGTTTACGGGTTTCCCAGAGATCTTCGGCGGAGATATAACTCCGTCGATACGGCAAGCATAAATCGGTTTCTTCCACGAGGCGATTCGCGAGCTTTTCGATAGTTTCGAAAACACATTTTAGCTGGGATCCCCCTCGACTGCCTTCGCCAGCCCGCGTAAATATTTTCTCCCCACGAATCGAGGAAGTTTTCCGCGGCCTCGATGCTACTGCTGCTGCCTTCGTGACAACGAAATCGTTAAACCGCGAACGGCGAAAGCGATAAAAGTCGGAGCTGACTCGTTTCACACGCTTCAAAGAGATCCGAACTGAATCTTCCGAAACGATTCTAATAACTATTTATTTAGTAAGCGAACGAAGATTCATTGCCCCTGCATACAGGGTGGGCCCGAACGATTCGTCGGAGAATTCAATAAATAAAGAGGGAAATCGGGTCGAGTTATAAGCGGAAAGCTGGCAATCCTCGATGATACTCGATGAATTAAAATCGGGTTTGAAGATTTTAATTTTCGAAAAAAAGTTACACAGAAAGCTACCAACCCTCGATGATCCGACATGAAGTAAAGTAAGTTTGAAGATTTTAATTTAAAAAAAAATAATAGCCAGCCGAATTCTTATCGTTCCACTGTTCCCCGATGATCGCTCTTCGTCACCTAAGTCCTGATTCAAAGGTAAAGCCAAGAAAGCCCCCGTATCATCTTCCCGAACAAATCAAGATTACACGTAGTGGCTTTCGTCACACGGCGTTTATTGATGTAAACACACAACCTCCGATCCCTCCTAGCGGAGTAGTCTCGGATAGAGGCGTTCGTGTTATCGCTTTGTTTGCCGTTAGTTTCGAAACAATTCCGCGTTGTAAATCGTATACTATCTCGACGTCTACGCAATACAGTTATCCATTACGCCTAACTGTCGCGTCCAATAGACGTACTCCGATATATAATTTCCCCCTTCCACCCCTGTGATTCTCCCATTCGCGTCAAAGGTCGAGAGACAAGAAGTTCGAATACATTGGTGATCAACGGACGCCTTCGGATCACTCTATCTGGCCTCTTTGTTGTCGCGTACGAATCGATTTTGTTCCCCGTGAACCGATTGTTTAGGTTTCAAAGTTTGATCGTCGAGAGGAGTTTCCATATCGGTCGCAGGAACGGAGAAATGGTAAGATGATGAGAACTCGAGTGACAAAACGAATATCGTCCCCGAGGCGGTCTCTTCGCCTCTCGGTCAATATTAATTTCGAGGTTATCAAAGACTTGATATACCTGTTCAGCCGTCGCCTGAAAGGAGCCAAAGGCTTCCGGGTTATTACGGATTACCGGTATAATCGAATCAAGTATTAATCCGCCGCGCCTCGGGGCTCGACGAAATCAAACGTTCGGGAGCCTTGTCTCGTTATCGATCATAGAACACCCAGAGGGCCTAGGCATCGAATCGCTGCGTATGTACGATGAAGTAATAACGATATATATTTGGATATACTCTGAGGGAGGAGAGTGGAGAAGTCTTTGAAAAAAATGTGGGTAATTATTAAGAACATGGTCCTCAGTACCGATTTCAATGACCTTGTGAATCAATGCCTTTATTCTGAACAGCTTTTCCCAAAATAATTGTAAGTCCTTGAAACTGATAACCGGCTGTAACATTGCCGATATGTTTACGAGTATTAACCGATATAATGGTACAGCACAAACAAACAGCGTGTTGGTACATAACTCACAGACGACAGAGTGGTCTTAAGACCGTCGCAACGTTACCTAGTATCTTGTGTAGACAGATATCACAGTATTGGAGTATAAATAGATCGATGGCCATTCGAACACGGTAATGGAATAATTCTGTCGTTTAATAATCGAATGACACGCCTGCCCGCGAATGATCGCGCGATTTCGATTCATAGAAACAGGGATTCCCACGAATTTCAGTGAAAAAAAAAAAACACGAAGTCAAACATCCGCGGACGTTATTCACCGTCAACGCCCACTCCCCGTTTAACGCGCGTTCCCCGTTGATAGCCTGTTTACCAGCCGATCGACCACTCAATTTCCCGTGAAAATTTACTTAAACAACCCGTTGATTCGCTGTAATCGACAAACGGTCCCGTTTTAATGCACCGCACGGCCCGAC